CCCCAGGCTGTTTGCAGGGATTTTGCAGGAAAAGTGCCTCCACTAGGAACAGTAAGGAATCATGTAATGCCTGTTATTGTAAAAGCTATGATCCAGTCTCCCCAGAATTGTGAAATGACCCTGTCTCAGGAAGTACTTATGACTTAGAAAATTCCTTATTACTTGCTTGTTTCGAAGACTGTGTATTTCTAAGAAAAATACTAACTCGATGATGCAAACTCAAATTGGTTTGCCTGTGTTACAGCAACATTTTCCTTGTAGGCAAGTGGTATTCCTCACATCCATTGCCAAAAGGAACCTAAGGCAGAAGCTGAATTCTATTTTAGCAGAGGCCACTGAAGCACAGTTCATAAAAAGGAGCTTTATGTTACAAGGGTTGGGTGTTTTTCCAGTAAGTGAAGTTCAGGACATTGCCATCAGAGAATTCGCTTATTACATCTTGAGCTCAAAGGGACAAAACCTGAGAAAAATAAGGTCACAGCAAACTCTCTACGGTTCAGTGACCTTGTAGACAAAGAGTCTCTGGAGAGCAGAGAGAGAGAGGCATTTTCTGAAAGATTGTTCGTTTCACATTGTCACACTGATTTTATCAATAGCACTGATTGCTATATAGTAAGTGTAAAATTATTTAAGCTTTCCAAACTTCTGTAGTTTCTCATATATTTCCAAAGTTCTTTATCTAACTGTCAGAGCTACAGGAAAAAACCCAAACTATTAAACCTGTGGTAAGGATAAAATTTGAAATGAGAAGTATTTAGGAGTTATGGAACAGAGAAGATATGTTTTAAGATTTCTATGTGATATATGCAAAAGTCTAAACAGTAACTGAAAATGAGCTTTAAATTCCAGCTGCACTTTGACTGATCTTCTTACACTCATTACTTACCAAAACCCATTACAATTTCATGAAAATAACAGCCTGGTTTTGAGAAATTCTGAACACCATCAGCACCCACCACGAACAGCAGGACACTCAGATTTTGAGGATCCTGACTTTCAACACCCAGCAAGTAAACACAGCAAAAGTTTGAAAAGATCCAGTGAAAGAAGTTACAAGGGAAGGAGCAGAAGAATTTTTTATTGACTGCAGACAAGTATGTTTACATTCTGTGGCAGTTTTTTTCTGCTTTTCTTGTTCTTGCACATTATTCTTTTGGGTTCTCTCTTTTCCAGTTCATTACTCCTCCCCCATCCCTGACTGGGCTCTAAAAAGTATGTCTCTCTCTACCCCATAAATGTAGCTGACTAACAGAGCAAACAACAAAATAAATGGGAATGTATTATTTTCCCAAGGCAGCTAGTTAGAATTTTGTTTGGTTTCCATGACTGAGATACCACATATTTCAGCAATGCTTTTACCACCTAATAATTTTCTTGGATTTTGTGCAGTTTATCTCAGAAACTTCCTGAAGAAGAGATTAGTCTTTCATTTGCAATACATGGTATTACTAAACAAAACCAAAGAAGAAAGAAATCAGAATTCTGTAGATTTTGTTTTTAGGAACATTTTTATCTTCAACATGTTTTTCATTCCTTTATACTTAGGTATTCTAAACCCTGTAGGATACAGAACATTCATTCTTTGCCTATTCACATCTCATAATCTAGTAAACAGATATTCCCCCAGCCTGCTTGCTTGTCTCTTCTCACCAACTCTTACATATGGTCAGCCTGCACAGAAGTACTTTCTTCTTCTAGAGCATTGGTGAGTGAGATTTGTTTCTCATTTTGGCCAATGGCTCATACCAGATACAGCATTTTTTCAAGTGTTACATGGATACTGCAAACTGGTAAAACACCAGGTTTTCATATTTGAAAATACAGAAGTCTAACTGCTTACCTGAGGACAAATAAAACCTGCTCCATACATGATACTTCTCACTGAGGAAGAAAGTGCATCCTTAGGAATAAGATTATCTGCAAAGATGATCATAAAATTGTTGCAGAAGGCAAGGTGGAAGACTTGGAAGAAGTTCATGGTGACAAAAACTAAAAAGTTCTTCTCTGTCATAATCTCTTTGGTCAATGAAACTACAGAGGCCAAGGAGAGAGCTCCAGTACTGTTTTCCAGATGAGCATTCTCCATATACACTTCTCTCTGCTCATATTGACTCACGCTGTATTTGCCTGTGTAACACATACAAGCTGTGGCTAAGGCTGCAATCAGAACAGTGAAAGCCTGGAAATAGGCAAAATTTTCCATATTGCCTGATATGAGCCCACAGAAGAGAACACTCGTTGATCCAATTAGCGTTGCCACTTGATTGTATTTGATGAGCTGGAGCCTACTTTCATGTCTTGGGGAGATTTCAGCAAAGAGTGCACACTGTGCCAGGAGCACAAACGTAAGCAACCCGTCAAAAGCACAGAGGGCAACTATGAGATGAAGCCCACTGAGCCAGTCACCTTCTTCATAGTGTCTCCAGGGAAACCAAGGAAGCAAAAAGGCTAATGCATACAAAGGAGCTCCGTATAAAATTGAGAACTGGCGTTTTGAGCAGCACCTGAGTTTGGAGTTGTCTTGAATATAGCCAAACAGAGGATCATTGATGGCATTCCAGACCATAAATACAACCTGCAACAAACAGGGAAGGAACACAATGGAATTTATCAGTAGTGTCATTTTTCTGCAGAGGTTCCACCACAGAATACACAATATGTTTATTTAGAATAAATCTCTATTCAGAGGGTAAAGATTTATAGGTCAAAACAGACTCTAGACCAAATCCTTAAAGGCATTGAAAGATTTATAGAAATTCTAATAAAATAAGTAACCAGGTGCCCAACTACATGTGAAATAAACTCTTAAAACTTCACACTCTCAAAACCTAATCTATCTGGGCTTTCATCTTGCCAAGCCCAGACATTACTCTCACAGTAATTCACAACACGAGCTGGACCATTGCTTTCAGGAGACCATTTACCACCAGAGTTACTCACAGGGATAATGACTTGCAGAATAAATGCAGTATTTATGCACTTAAACAGTCCATAGGAAAGCACTAATGGCAAACATATATATGGAACTGAGGTGCAAGATCAGCTTAGAAAATTACTTCAAGCTATCAAAGGTAAAAATCTTTTCAGCAATGAAAGCCTGGAGATTTTTAGTTTAAAGTCTGTAACTGTACTTTATGTGAATGTTCAATTGCTTATGGATTAACCAAATTCAAAGTTAATGTACTGTTCATTATTTTCAATGCATCCAAAAGAAACTTGTCAGGAAAAAAAAAATCACTCTGCTGTGATAACACACACACACAGAGCACAACATGGCAATCAAAATATTCCAGTGTACAATACCTGTGCTTGATGAAACTCAGCTTCTGAGATTTTGTATCTGTTTAGGAAAAGCTTAACATAGTAGAAGTTAAAGATGCTGTTCATCATTCCAGCACCTAATGTAGTCATGGAATATGCCAATGCATTAGGATGAATTCCCCAAACAAACTTCATCTTCCAAGAGGACAGCTCTCTTCTTCCTCAAGTTACAAAATAAGAATTACAACAGTTAGAATCATTTTCCAAATTAAAATGACATGGGGGATTTGCTTGTTTCAGAGGTGTAGAGAGGAAAACTTCCCCACTCTTCCTTCCCTTTTTCAAAATGAGAAACACATTTTGCTGAGTTATAGGACACTAAGCCCAAAACTGTACAGATAGAAACCAGTAAGAAATCGATGGAATTTCCAAGTGTAATCAGTGCTTAAAAAAGCAGTGGAACAAGTAGTCAAAACTTTAAAAGCATCCCTTCCTAACTGGTGCACAGACTCCATTTATAAACCTGCTGCTGCAAACACTCGTTTCAGTGCAGAGTTCAAAGTAATTGCACACGTTTTAGATCTTTCTTGCTAGCTGCATATTCTTAAAATTATGGACTGTGTAGGAATGAAGTGACTCAACTCATATCCTTATGTATTCCACTGCTGTGAATGTCAAATGCAGCATACATGGAGAGGAATATTTCTTTCAAAACAAATACCAAGTTGTGCCCTTCTGTTTTAAAATGTTAATTGTTAACAAGCTATGGAAGAAATACTTTCACCTAGCAAACCATAAAACAATCAAAACACCTTTTAGTTACCATTTTCATTGTATAAAAGACTGCATGTCAATAAAACACAGCAAGTACCACACACAGCATTTGAAGTATGTCCAAACAAGAGAGATTCAGACCAAGATTACAGATTTCTTTAATCTGTGTTCTTTTATCAGATGTTCAACCAACAAATTTTCAAGATGCTGACTTCTTCCATCTGTTGAGCAACTAATTTACACGTGTTTGGTATAAACTATGCCATGGAAAGAGCCAGCTCCAGGGAAGCTTTACCTTTAAAAGCTGAGTAATGCCTACCTAAAGGTAGTCCTTAACCATATTTGATTCTGTAAGCCCAACACAAAAGTACTCCCAGAGATCTGGTTTTAATTGAGGCTTTATTCAGTGTTACATCCACTGTCTGCCATTGATTTGGGTACTTGTATCAGCCTTACTATGTACCTAACTCCAGAGCTTTACAACCTGCTTTATTCATCAATGGTTCACACTTTGCTCCTCTGCATATTAACAGTTTTATCCTGAATGCAATTTCCACATGTCCTTCAAAACACCTAGTTTGAATATCTGCTTGTTCAGCTTGATCAGCAGATCTCTAAGCAGCTGCCTGAACTCCTCACAAACATGACCATGGAAGGAACAGGAAATGAAAACCAAGGCTGTTTCCAGCCTTCCTGTGGCTCACAAAGCAGCTGAGGACAAGCTGCAGTGCAGGAAGGTGGGAACTTCCTCATCACCAGCCGAGGGCCAGGCACAAGGCACAAATCAGGCACAAATCATCCTGGGGAAGATGGAAAGGCAATTCTTCCCCCCCTCAATACAGAAAATGGACTCTTGAAAACCAAATGAAGTGTGGATGTGTTTTTGCACAGGTCTAAGATGCTCTGATATGAAACATGATGCAGAGAGCAGATAACTTCACTCTACAGCTAAGAAAAAACCCAAGTTGACAACTTGAGACCTAGGCTTTTTTTAATTAAAGCCGATTCATTTCTAAGAATATGACTGAATTTTTAAGCACTTGAGGGTGATTATGATGTGTATCTTCAAGTCTGTTTCTCCCAGACCTACAGCTGTAGAGACAACTCCATTTTCAGGGGACAGAATTTTGCAGTTGCGTAACAAGTTTGGCTTCACAATCTCTTACAGAAAAACTTGAAATGAAGAATAGGATTATTGAAAAGATGCCCAATTGCAATACTTATTTTAAAAAATAAGCTGGATATTAACATGAAAGTCATTACAGTATCTGTGGTGTTGACAAGTGTCACGTGCTTTTTCAGGCCTTCACAAATACACCTAATGATGTGATTTACGTAGTAGGTATTAGGGCTCCCCCCTGGAGACTCCTGCACAGGTCTCTTCAAATGGAGAACTGGGAGACTCCTTTCCCTCAAGTTCCACGAGCACCAAATGTGCTTCACACTAAGACTACCAGCAGACTCACTACTCAAATCACTCAAATCCTTCCTATGCACAAATAAAAACAGTCCACTCAGCTTTACAGTATTTGAAACTTCTTCAACAAAAAGCTTCTAACAATGCACAAACAGGCCTCTAGTGCCATGACTAATTAGAACACACAGGTTCTGACACAACTCTTTGCACTAATTGGTACATCTGGCCCTGCACCTTGTTTATGAAATAGGTTCAATTAGCAGTTGAGGTACCACACTTCCTTTCCCAGAAGATGTGCTCTTTAATAGTGCAATGAAATCACGCAGGAGTATCCCCTCCCTCTCCTTAATAGTCAGGCTTTGTACTGAACAGGTTAAGGCACAGGTGTTGACATTTTGTGACTCACAGAAGGCAAATCGTGTCAGAAATTTCTGCTGGTTGCAACTGAGGAGCCAAGAGAACAGGCTGTTTAGGCCAGTGGGACACAGCGTGACATTACTGATGTTTCTCCCAGAGCCCGATGACAACCGCTAGAAGAAACTAGAGCAGTGTCTAAAGAAAAGTGGACTCCAAGAGATAGTAATAAACTGAGCGGCAGTAGCTGACAAGCCCTGCAGTTCTGGGTCCCAAACCGCTGTGCAGTGCTCACAGTCCTGACAGACTGGTTGGACACCAGTACCTTCCCCATCTCCCTGCCGTGCCCTGCACCACATCGAGCGAGAACTGAGAGCAAACGCCGAGTGCCGA